TGGAAACCCTTATTCCAGCTCCAAATCCATAGTTTCCATATGTAGGTGACACATCACCAGTGTTGAAATTGGAGCACGTATATAGCATGTTCACGTAGTGAATTCAGAAGACTACGCAATCCAACTCACCTCTGAATTGGAAAAGAGTGAGTGTAAACTAGCGATGTTAGATTGCAGAATAAAACGGAAACAAGGTGCGAATTTAGACACAAGTATCCACAGGAAACCTTCACACTCAAATGGTTACTCAGACAGCAAGAAGTCTCACCCTATGTCAGTTAAAGTTGGCTTGATAAAATGTCTGATCAAGAGAGCCAGAAAACTCACTAGTAAGACAGAAAATCCAAGACAAGAAACCAGAAGCATTAAGGACACCTAACTCATTGAGCCACGAGGTCCGACTTATCACCAGATTTCTTATTTTACTTCAATCACCAAGGGTTTTGCCCGACTACCATGTGAATTAGTGACGGGTTACCACCACTTGATCGTATTCACACTGGCTGCCTATTTACGACTTCTCATCCCAATCCATATCTAAATGAATTATGGAGGGGAAAGTTATATTGAATCCGGCCGGTAAACCAGTGGTCGCTGTTCTGGATTCGGCTGTGGTTCAAATTTTCATCTCACTTTCCATCATCACCCAGTACAAAATACTAGTCTGCCATAAAACTTGGCGATCTCACATAGTCGAATGATAACTGCATCTTTGTTTATCGAATCAACGCCTAATATATGCAGCAGACATGACTCTACACCTGCTTCGGATACATGGAAAGCCTCACTACCCATATCACACAGGGAGCGAGGAATTTAGGACTAAATAAAGCATGTCACAAAGTTGTGTAATTATCTTGATATGAGTGTGTACAATAAATTACGTCCGAAACGTAATTCAGTAAACAACATTATTCCACTGTGTCACACTTCTAGTAAATCAACTAAAATGGAATGGCAGAATATTGACCACTTATTCTGAGTTCCACCTTCCTGCGTTCCATAGCAATTTATCATCGCATTAATCATTCCTTGGTGCATTTAACTTTGATCGCTAGGTTACTTTACCACCAAATTTTTGCTGTCGTCTCTTTTTCATCTTCATTGATATTTAGACCTTTAATGTGAGCTTCCCATTGACGCGGTAATTATTTTCCTACCACTTAACTTCGCCAGTCAATAGAGGGTGTAGTGAAAAGAAGGTCAGTTCTATTTGTCTCCACAATATATATTTCATAGAATATCCTTGAAATGCTCTTGTCCGGCATTCGTGCACGCCAAGTTTCTAGTAGGTTTCTGAACAGTAACTTGGTGGTTGTTAACCCACAATCATCCCTGCAATTCTCTGCTTCATGACGACAATTCTTGGACCAGGAAGTGATGGGAGTTGAATTGGACAGCATAAGGCCACTGCTAATATCCAGCATTGCTGCATTCAATGTTGTCGACTTCGCCTATGCACACTATGGTAAACGACCGAATGATCAATATGTGCTCAATGTGTGTTATCGTCTCTTCCCTCAGTGTGAGTTGACCGGTATATGAATTTTCTCATGAAAGCATTTTGTTGTAGACAGTTGGGAAACATTGCAGGAATACATACTCAGTCAAACTGGATTGGCATCTTCTTAAAATGTGATTGTACATCAGAAATGTGGGCACCTCTTATATCAGCATATCCAGAAAATGGTTGGTAGAAAAGTTTTTTGACGAATTAGAAGGACGTCTGTGTAATCGTATAGAAAAATGAAATACAGAGTGAATCATCTAGCTTTGACTAATTTCCCATGACTTCCTACTTAAGAAGTAGGTGAATCATATATAAAAGAAACCTCATGAATAGGAAAGACAATGAGGTATAAAACTGATAGATTAGTTGTAAACACACACACACACTCTATTTGTAAAGAATGCACTACAACAAGTTGAGCTCCGAGTTTCTTTTCATCATTATCGAACTATGCTGTAACGTAGTCTAGCCATTTTCGAATTTCTTACGGATAAGGCTGTGACTTCTATGGTGAAATATTCAGAGAAACTTTGTTTCCATTTTGTCAACACATTGGTATAACAGCACGATGTATTCTTATAACAATAGTCTATCGGTGCCCACGAACAAGCTATTATAAATACACTTTTCATGAAAAATGTGCAAACATTGATGAGCTTTTATTTTGGTCATATATAGACCAATATATGACCAAGTTCTTCAAATCATCCAGTCCATTGTTGGTCCGGATATGTTCAAACTAAGCACAAATAGCTTCTGTGGGCTCAACCAATCATATTCCAACAAATAGTTGTTCTAGTCCAATAGGAATGTCTCCTGGCTACACAAACACATTGTCTTTTAAACAGAGGTACCAGCCAATCACAAATCCTTTCCAATTGTTTTCCTCCAACTCAAGTACATTAGAGGGAGAAGTGGACCGGTTAATAAAGGTCAACCAAACTCATGAAAATATTTGTGTGTGTGTGTGTGTGTGTGTGTGTGAATGTAAACAAAGGTGTTGCAGTCATCATTGTAAACGAAGCTGATGAGATTCTGATTGGTTTATTTATATTTCACTTCTTTGTTTCCACTGAATTCAGTTTGTATAAATAGTTGATTGATACGTCGTGTAAACAATTAACCAGTATCACTTCAATCCACTGAAGTAAGTTCAATTTTCTAACTGGTATTTAGGGTATACTATAAATGCATGAAACATTGTTTCTGAATTCTTCTCCATATGTTTTAGACTAGGATAGGTTAGTGAACTGAAGTTCTGGTTGAATGAGTCTAGTAAAAAAAGTGTTTGTCAATATACCACATGTTCCAACCAGTTGTCAGCTGAGGAAATTTGAGCAACTAGTGACTACTGTTAGCCAATGAACAACACATTTGACTCCAAACTTGTGTGGGATGGCTGCAAATTACTCAGGCGAATGCGATTCGTTTTCTGTTCAGAAGTGCACGGTAAGAGAACTCATCATCACATACAGTCCAACCTACTTTGTGAAACAGTATGGAGTTCAAGGGCTCCATTGGATGCAATACTGGAGACAGAACTGATTAAATTATTCGTGTACACCTCAGTACATTGACAAAGCATAAGTGGACGCACGAAAGCAATATGTGTGAAGCTGAATCTCCAGAAGCGATATGGACAACAAATGTAGGGGATAACACACTGAACAAGTTGTTTTCATGCGTGTTGAGCAGAAAGCTTTATGAATTGTCTGAGTTCTTGCCTACCAGTGGTACTGCTTTTATCAGCCTTCACATTTCACTCAAAGTCAGCACCAGTCGAGAAATATGTGGAAATCAGACGACACTGAAAAAGAAGTGTAGCTTGAACCCACGTCTGCTTTACTATGCTAGCACCTGAGTTTCAACACATAGTGTCAATACTTACAAACTCAACATGATAAACACAACATTATCACCAATCTGACGCCCTCAAAGTTTTGGTGTGCTGAGCCTTGACCTATATTCATTAGAAAAAAAGCTATAAGACGGTTAAATAAATCTGATAGCTCATGGAAATTTTGCTTAAGATTACGATAATTTCCTACCTCCTCGAAAAGAGGTCTTTGTTCAAATTGACTGTACATTCCTAAGAACAAATGATCAGATCGTTTTCTTTTGTGAAATGTATGGTTTAGACGAATGATGTCTCAGATGTGGCAAGTGAAGCTTGTTGTATTCAGTCTGTTAATAATGAATGTCGTGAAAATTGACTCAGAAGTACATCTTGTGCCAATCCAGTTCGATGAATCAGGTAAGCAAACTATAATACATAAAATTGGTTTAAAACGGTGAAAAAACTGATGCTTGTTGAGTGTTAATTGATACAGATTAGTGCTGATGTTTGCTGTGAAACAAGGGAGTGGAATCGGAAAGACATGCGAAGCCTCCACCTACTTGACCAATACTGCATTCCTATTGGCTCTCGAGTCTAATAGGATCGCCATGTGAGAAATGAAATGTGGAATGTATGCACACCGTATTAGGTAGAGAAGAGCAATTCAGTTAGTTTGGTCATGAGCCTAGGGTGGAAGGGTTGTGTGAACTATGGCAAAGTGGTGAAAAGTAGAGGCACGAGAGGACAGAAACAAAATATGAAATTCATGTGCTTGTTGGCTGTTGGCCAAGAGTAGTATGATCTGTCTGCATAGGGTTCTTGAATCGATAGGAGTCAGTCTTAAGAAATTTGGAGATGCGGATCGAATTCGTTGAATGGTTCCATTACCCTTCATCTGTGAATTCTGTCTACTCCAATACACATTTTCCTTCTATTTAACCTTTATCTTTCCAATTCCACTTCACACTCTGCTGTCAGGTGTGGCGACTTGAACTGATGCACTTCCGTTGCAGTTCCTACTTTGATTTATCTACCTATCTACTCTGAGATATTTACAGAAGTGTGGACTGTCTGGGGAATCTCTGTACGAAATCGGAGAGGGAAGATGACATACTCATCGATTTAGTTAAGTGTGGGTGACAGTGTAGCAGATGCGGCTCCACTAGCTTCCCAGCAAACTCACTTGAATATTTAAGTGGTAAATATTTATCTCCGGATTACTTCCTCACCACCAGTTTTCCCTAGGACAGATTGTGCGACCACTGTAATGAATATCTTCATTTCACAATGTTTTATCTTGATCTCCTCGTTGCGATGATTTGATAAGAAGAACATCTTGTTGCACCAACAATCTACTAAGACACACTGTAAGCTCTTGGTAAATTCCTTTCGTATTCCATACTTTACAAGTGGATAGTAATGGTGACATCATTGATAAACATCACGTGGACGGATCATAATGTATATTAAATAACTGGAAAATGTAGTCATTGTTCACACATGGTTGTTCTTGTTGATGGTAGGAATCAGAACTAGTAGTTCTTCTAGAGGACTAGGTTAGCTGTCTTGCATATAATGAGTTGACGCTGAAACAGATAGAAATGATCTGGGATACCAGATATTTTGTTGCTTTTCGAGATAGACAGTAGAGTGATGTTTCCTATGAATGGTCAGCTGATGGGTCTACAAAATCCGTTGCAAAATGATAGTTCGTTAAATGTATCCTGTTAATCATATCCGTAAAATGTAAATTAAGAAGCATGCAGTTTCAAAGCACTTACTGTCCATCATATAACGAACGGCACTGCCTCTGCTCCTAAATTACGTCTATGTTGGAGCTGACACAGTATCCGTATAATTTCATCAATGATTAATGCAGGTTAAAATCCTGGAGAGGAATTTCATTTTTCCATCGTCACAGATACTTCAAACCGATGAGTATCAACAAGCGTAGAATGCAGGTCAGACGAGGGTTCGCTTACATTGACTGACACCAGACAGCAGAATACAGTGAGTAGTGATGTTGCATCACTTAGCCTGGTGACTACATTGTAGACGAGCTCGACAGAATTGGAATAACCCATACGGGTTGGCAGCTACATCAGTTACTGACCAGTGACCAATTGGTTGACCTGAATGTTTGGTCATTCATTGACTTTACACAAATCGGCACCTTCTTTCTAAACTCAGACTGGCCTTTATGTTCATCCGGTGCAAATTTCCGGCAGACCGTATCTCATATTTTCATATCATATCACTGATGTGATTATGAGTTATAATTTATGCCCAATGCGTCATCAAGTAAATGATACTTTATCTCCGTGCGTTGTATATGAAATAAATTACTGTTATATGGAATTACATTCTGCTACGGTACCCCAGTTTTACAATTATATTAACACAATGATGTAATCACCTAAATAAAAGGTATCTCAGCATTAAATGTTATTTTCTGGATTTGCTGATGAGGAAACCACAATATCCTCTATAATTTTAGGTCAAATGTACGTGGAACATAATGGAAGGAACTTTTCTGCAAATTCAGACTTTGAAGTGAAAATCAAAGACAAAGATTGCATAACAACTTTGCCATTGCAACCACCAAGTGCAATAGAATTTACGCAAAAGGATCCAACCCGTATTTTGACCCAGTAAGTCATAAACAGCATTCATGAAATATTTGCATAAGAAATAAGTAATGTTTTGTGTTTTAAACGACAATTTACAAGTATCAGACAAATCGTTCAACCGTATTAAGGAGGGACTCTCAACAATGTGCCACATTATACACTCAAGATCACAGTGATCAAAAGACACATCTCAATCTAACTATCTGACTGATTAAGTTATCACTATCTCAGAAGATCGAAGTTACCTGTATGGCGCAGGTGTCACATGCAAAAAGCTACAGTTGTCAAAGTGGGCATAAGACCGCATAGAAAGCAAATGTTCATATGGCATGTGAGACTAGGTGCAAATAATGATAAGTAAGGATTTTGTCAGCTTCAATTACCACACTTATTGAACTCTATAACTTCTCCTCATATTGGAAATAAACCATATTGCCTTTTACATACCAGTAACTCGGTTGCTTCAGAGAACCATCTGGTTCACTTCACTGACATTTTTGACTAGTATTATCGTGGACTATTTGCCCCTATCGTTAATCAATCATTCAGATGCAACAGTCGACCTGCACAATCAATTTCTCGAGGATCCCATGTGGTCCGAGTAGACTGTTGCATCACCGGACGACTGAGTCCACGGCGTCAACACTAGTCGCCTAAATCACTATGATTTAGACAAAATCCTAATTCAGAACATCAGCATTATTCTGAAAGTCTCATGCAGTGAAACCTCCTTCTCTGTCACCACAATTGATACGCGATTCGATTTAAGAGGAGAACTTGAGCGTCAACCTGGAATCTACTAAGGAGAAAGTGACCAATATAGTCAGTGAATATTTCGTATGACAAGTGAACTCCAAGTAAACATTTCAGGCCGTAACCTACATTGTGAGGGAGTAATTGAGGCTGTGATGCTTGTTGCCATTGAGAAGACTTTGCAATTATTGTGTATGCATATATTTCGAATTGGTTACTGGTGTGTGTGTGTGTCGTTGATAGCAGCTGTCTGTCACGATGCAGTCACGAAATAACACTACCATAAATGTTTGTTATAAGTGAACTGAAATACCAGATTGCATTCTTTCTTAATTTTCGAGAATTTCACTCTGATGAATCGTTAAGAAAATAGTCTGTTTTAATTGTGTGTTGACTGTGCTACATGGAGTTGCTAGTATCGGTCGACAAACAGTCATGCAAACTGTCATTCGATGGGTGGAGTTGACAAAATTGTGGATTGAAGAGAGGTTCGGATGAACAGTGTCATGATTTCTGGTAGACAACGAAATGTGTAATCTATCTGTTTTCATTCATTTGTGTGAGATATTTTACACAGGTCCACGGGATATTGGCATATTTTCGAAATATCCATTAGGACATTCGAGTTGTTGTTTAGTACATACAATGATTGCATTCTCTTTCTTTCTGTGTCGTCTTCAGGAAATGTAAATAACGTCAGTCTACACGGTAATATCATGCACGTCTCTGAAAACTAATAATGCATGCGAGTTATTGTGCAGAATGCAATGTGACGATTTCCATAAAGCATCGCGTGTTCCTTCGTTGTGTAAATTAAAATCAATTAAATCTATTTTGTTCGAAGAGTATCTGTTAGTCACTCAATAGATTAGTCTACACAAATTTCATTCTTCTAAATAAAGCTAAATACAATTGTTCCTCCGTTTGGATAGTAATTCCTTCTCTGCTTTTCTGGTCAATATTTTCTGTGCGAGAGATATAAATGAATGAGGTGCTTTCACCATTGTTTTACCTGATGCATTGTCTCACTGTAAGGTAATGGCAGCTCAACTTTCCTCGGTTTCAGTGTTGAGAAAAATCAGGGGATTTATCTCAGTTACTTTCCAAGTGTTTGTCTCAAAGGAATAGCCAAAGTGTATTTCCTGACCTACCTCGAATTTTGTGTTTGACCACTGTGGACATAGAATGTCTGTCTTTTATGTTGAATTCCTGAGATGGGAGTAATCATTTCGTCTATATATATATATATATATATATATATATATATATATATATATATATATATATATATATATATATATAGGTTCTTGTCAACAAATCACCTAACGTGATGATCATGGTGACCAAACGTGAGAGACATTCTCTAGTCTGACCAGTGTCCTCCTAGGCTAAAAATCTCAGACACCTCGAATTAATCTGGTTTTCACTAATTAGGCTGCATTTTTACTAACCTACAACTGTGGATAATCGTTGTCACTAAGTCAACCACAGATGAGGAACATTTGGACAGCTCATGATAAATGTAACATAATCAACCTGAATTGTGTATCGCCTCAGCAGTCATCAGAAAGATGTTATGCTTTAAATCACTGCTTGCATATGATGCTTTTAGAAGGAAGCCATGTAACAAACATCAATTTGCACTTTTTGAGTAATAAATGACACTCTGCATCAATTTGAGAAGTGACTGTGTGAATTCTACTAGTGATATTTGGACGTGAGTTTCTGAAGCGGAGGTTTCGAAGACTCCCTCCATTCTCTGATTTCGATGGTCAGCTTTTCTGAAGTCAGTTATCGATCAGAAGAGCGTGAAAAGCAGTGAGGTCTTGTTCATAGTGCTGACATAAGAAGCAGCCAACAGAGTATGTGAATGGCATTGTGTACGGTTGTATCAGCCTCAGATGAAAGACAGCTAAACCGTAGAAATTGGATATGAATCAAATTGAACAGAAAGGTCTACTGTGTAACAAAGAATGAACAACTCCCTCATCTTCAGTGCTTCACAGACACTGAAATGATCCACACAAATTTTGTGATTTTCACTCAGTCAAATATTGGTATTATTAAACACAAATCGAATTAGGAAAATTTGGATATTACATTGAGAGGAAAAGGAGTTGGTAAACTTAAAGTATGTTGGTTGGAATGGCTCAGTAAGGAGTGGAAAAGGTTTGCATGTACTGAATCCAGTAAACTCAAACAAACTATACTCGGATGAAATTTCATAAAGTGATCAAAATCAAGAATATACAGTGATGGTAGCGGAAAACACATTAAACCACTTGTATGATGGATCGCCTTACAGTTGGTTGACTACTACTAAATAATGGACTGTTCAGTCTTACCTGATATGACACAGGTCTTTCATAGTGAAGATGAATGAAGTCATGAAATGTGACTGTGCACAGGTACCTCCTAATCACATCAGCTCGAAACACAACATTCCGTGAATTTATCCAATATAATACCATCCATCTCACAATTTTCCAGAGGCTTAGCAGGAAGGGCACAACTTGTCAGTTGAAGTGACTCCAATGTTCCTCCGCAAACACAGTCGTATTTTAGAGATGTTCAACCGACTGAAATTCATTCTATTCGGAACGAGAAGACGAATAAAATTCTGTGTGAAGTGACAGGGCTTATAATATCTGAGCAAAATAATGCGACAGGAAATCTGATAATGTCGTATTTTAAACAAGCATATGAAAAGAGGAGTGAATGTAGGAAAAAAGGAACGGGTGGACACTTTTATGCATAAAGTGAGGAAATCCAAGAGGGATCTAGTGCACCTAACGAAACCGTTTGATGGGGAGTCAGACTGGTTTGATTTCATGCTGAAAACAAATAACCTTGATAGGATTTGTGATCAGGGTAGAAACATCCAAGCTTATGAGTTGTCTAGATATTCATCCATCGTAAGTAAGAGGCTTGATAAGAAACCATGCGAAATCTGGACTTACCAGCTCCCATTGTATAAAGCATAGATTAGATAATATACAGTCGAATGACAACGGAAAAGTGGTTAGTTTTGGTGTGATTTACCAACCAACATGGCCCTGGAGGCAATTCCAACTGCATTCATTGATGACCATGAGGATATCATGCTATGAATGCGATTATGTCTGAAGTCTACATTCTCCAAGTTTCAAAATAAAATATATGAACAAATGATTGGAGTTGCTATGGGATTACTGATATCCCCCATCGTCACGGGCATATACATGAATGGCTGGGAAAAGTCGGTCGTTGAAGCACTTTGTCCTCATCCAAACATACGGTTTCTATATGTAGACGACACATTTCTAGTATTGAAATCTCAGCAAATAAATAGCTTATATGTCCACAAATTCGGTAGTGATTGCAGTTGACTTCATTCATGAAACAGGAGGTGGTGAAGGGGAATTAGCGATTCCATATTAGGCTGCTTATTTGATTTGTAACATACCGTGATACAGTATTATCTACTTGATGACGTTTCGGGCATAAATTATTGCTCACAATCATTTCATATCATATCATATCATATCACATTGATGCCCGAAACGTCATCATGTAAACAACACTGTATCACTGTGTGTTAGACGTCAAGTAAACAAATGTAATATGGAATGAAGTTCTAACACAGTAGCCAACTTTTGCGCTTATATCGAGGGAATTTACGGTGTTGACTCGCAGGATAGAACGGAAACAAGATGGAAGTTTAGAGATCAATGTCTGCAAGAAACTCTCTCCTTCGGATTGCGGCTCAGACTTCACACCATATTTCCCGATGTCATTTACAGTGAGCATAGTTGAATGTCTGAATAAGAGATGTAAACAGCCTTCTGGTAGGATGGAAAATCTGGGACAAGGAGCTAGCCACATTAGGGATGCTTGATGTTTCACTAATTACACACCTGAGGTTTTAAACAGTTAGAGCAATGGTGGTAACACAGATGTCTACAATAATATTTACAACATGGATAACAGCAAAAATAATACTGATATTGATGATAGAATTAGTTGAAGTGTTAGTAGGAGAAATGATAATAATGGTGACGCTGTGGGGAGTGAATTCGAAATCTGTCCTGTGTCACCATACAGGGAAGTCACCTCAGCGACTACATGAGATTCCGAATAAGGGTGGGACCAGATTGGGATTTGAACCTGAAAACTGACTTCGAAACAAGCTATCCAAATTAAAGGATCTCACAGATGCAATGATGATAACATCGAACAAATAGTTGAAAGTAGATAACCAGGGTCAATCAGTGTGTCTGAGGGCGAAGGCCTGACTAAATCAAGATTGGTAGACCCGAATACAATAAGGAATCTAGAAAAATAGCTTGATCGTTTGTCATATCCTTGTGGTGACTACTTGGTATAACCCAAATTACATGGATGGTTGAAGAATAACCTTCAGACTCCACGCCTTGATGGTCACTCAGTTTCGCGATAAGTGGAAGAAGGCGTTGAGATGACAGTAGGTGTATTGCGACGTCAAACATGTGTTCAAAATATAAGAGTAGTGCCTTGGCTATTCCAGACCTTTATATATTTGAATGTCATATTGATTTTTGTGTCTTCAATCAATCCGAAATTTACACGTTGCTTCACGTGCAACTTTCCGAGACTCGGAAGCAAAACGATACGTTGTGAAAGGCTTCAAGTGTTCACGGCTGCTTACGAGGATTTTCGTAACCTAATTCCACACTATTTATGCAACTGCATCCAACCACACAATAGGGTGAGATGGAACAGCAGTATTGAAAAATATCTTTGTGAGTGGTGTAGGAGATTGCTAACCGATTCTATGTATATCGAATCGATACCGAAGACATACACTGGCAATGATTATATACCAGTTCCAGATAAGTGGAAAATTCTACCACCCCTGTCACAGGGGAGGAGAGGGAATCAGAATCAACCAAACTATGTCTCAAACTTTGAAGTTACCAGATAGGAATATGGACAATAATTGTAGCTCACTGATAATAACTAAGGATAATATTGTTTCGCTTATGTGACACAACAAATAAAATGAACCAAAACAAAATTACAACTGTTATAGTGCCCGAATTTCACTCCTTTTATCTTCCTGTATTCCGAAATTTCATATTGCTTGACTCATCGTGTTATTGGAAGATGATGACGCAAGGTATAAGTGAAACTTCTTCGGCGGTTATTATGGGTTTCTGCATTATTTTGCCGCCCGAGGAAACTCAGTTAGTTCAGGGTATAAATAAAGCGCCATTCCTTGCAGTGTTTCTTATCTTATTTAAGCGCAGAACAAGCAGCTTTTCCCTTGTTATCTTGTGACTGGTCCTCGGTATAACTCCACAGTTACTAACATAAGTGAATTTGAAATGAATGCACAAAACTCCTGTAGTAACTGCAAATAGTGCGAGTAAAAGTCCAAAAACTATGGGGGCATTACGGGTTGAATTGCCGAAAATTTTCATATTATTCAACAAGTTATCCTATCCGTAAGTTTACCTTCAAACTAGTCTATTCTGAAATCTACGAAACAAAAGCGGTTGAACAATTAGTTGCTTTTGTTTCATATACCTCTTTCCTTTCAGGAATTTAAATAAAGCGAGAACAACAACTTTAGCGGAATAGCGTGGATCCATTTTATTTTGTGGTGCCTTTACAGCTGCTTACAACCTAAGACAACTTTAGCTTCAATTTCTATAAACATTTGCATGCTTGAGT